GCAATTTATGTAATTACTATGCACTTAATTCATACATATTATTAAAATCTAGGCTGTAATGGTTGTATTGATGTATAGCAACTTGAAATGGTCCCAAAAATGGCTCTACAGCATGTAAAAATATAATATAAGCTCTGGCGGACTTGGTTCTATGGTAGGTCTTAAAGGGTTAACTTCATATCAGGCATAATGTGTAATGTGAAAATTATATACATAGCAAACAATACATAGATTTTTTTCAGACTCTGTTTTTCTATTGTATATGTGTTTTGTATACATGCTTATTTATATGAGACTGAAACTGAGAAAGTGATATGAGCAAAGAAAAAGGGCGTAGGTTCATTCGCATGTGTCTCACTTATCTTTGTTTTGATTAAGGTCCCTAGAATAGGATCAAAGCCCTAATTTGAATTTTGACTTAGTGACCTGAAACCTGATGGATTGAAACCAAAGTTTTAAAAAAGACCATTCAGACTCAGACCATTTACCATTTGACTGTGCAGTGAGTGTTAAGCACTGAGCACAACACATCTCTTTTTCCAATGATTTAAAACAGGTTTATTGTGTCTAAAATCTTGTTTAAATAAAATCTCTGAAAATAAACAGTTCAAGTATTTCATAAACAACTCAAATTCTGCACATTTGTTTCCCCTTTGAAGATGACTGAGCAGTAGCAACAATTTTGCATGCCTTTTTGACAGAGCTGTGATTGGGTAAGACAACTAGACCCATCAGTCACCACAAGGTCTCTTGTAAGTAAGAAACTGTTTGAAGGAAAGCAGAGTTATACTGTGAGTCTGAATACAAAACACACAGATGATATGTGTGCCCTCAATTAATGTTACCAATCTATATTAATGTGACACAATTTAACTCAAATCCCTTCAAGAAAGTGCGCTCAACATTCTTCTGTGTCTCTCATATTTCTTGTTTGGCAGGATGATCTTGCATCATGGAACCCTTTTGTTTTATTTAAGAGAACAAATTGAATTTCATTTGCTCTAACTGCATTGCAGATATGCACAGTTTTTCACACAGCTTTCAAGCTACAGCAGTAGTAGCTGCAGTACATTTACATAATTCCTTGCCTCTGGATGAAGTACAACAATGTCTCTTCACTAGAATATCTGGTGTCTGGATATAAATATCTGGTATGATAAGTATTTTAATCCAAAGATAAGAGGGACATTGTAGACATTGTTCTGTGATGTATACAGCATTTTGCTCCAAGCAGATGCAGCAGGTGATTATCTGGTCTGACGATGAGTCAACACGGTCACCCTTTATCTCTCTGTCTTTTACTTCTCCCATTCTCCCTCTGCTTCTCTCACTCTTTCTGTTTAAAGGGCCATCCAGATCCAGATTTTCCCTCTGTAACATTGTGCAAATATTTCAAGTTATGTAGTAGAGACACAGAGCTGGCATGTTCTTATTTGTGTAGAAATACAGAATTGTAACAGTGAGGCTACAACAGCTAGATCAGAGTAAATTACTGATTTTGTGACTGATCTTGGGAAAATTTAGCTAAATATACAAAAGGATCCTGACTGAAGAAATGAGAATATTATTAAAATTCACTCTCTGCATATTGACAGGTAATATCATTATCATTTTTACTATTATCATTCTTTTCAACATAAACTGTAAGCACAGTAACAATGGAGAGCATAATAAAAAAAATACCTTTGCATGATATATAAGTAAGTTAACTAATTAAATGCAATACTTGAACACAAATAAATTTGTCAAGTAGTTCTACTTACTTGGGTACTTGTATTCATTTTCTTGCTGATTTTGTAGCTGTGCTTTTTACTCAATAAAACTTATCGCATGTGCACAGTAAAATAAAATAAAGTGGTCAAACAGATTTTGGACAGTGGAACATTTTGGAATTTCTCCGCTGTACACCACCACTATACATTTAAAATAAAATTAAAAAAAAAAATAGATGAGATTGAAGAACAGAATTTCACCTTAAAGGACTTCACATACTGGACACATAGAAATATTTGGCTTAAAAATATGTTTTTGGACTCACCTATTCTTAATGCAGCCGTTCACACCAAATGCTTAATTGCACATGACAGATTTGCAGCTCAAGCCCAATTTGTCCAACTTTGTGCATGTGACTAAATACATCTGACCAATCGGCCCACTGCATTTGTTAACACAAAGTGCCCTTGTGTCTCAAAATTCATTGAATGTACAATGATCTAGACATTTCTATCTTTTCTTGTTTAGAAACATCACAACCAGCCCATCGCTGCTTAGCATTTACTCCACTTTTCTGTAGTGCATTCTTTGAGGACATATTTTTGCAAAAGATGCTTTCACTGTTACACAATAAGTTTGCTTCCAAAAAATTCTGAATTTTTTATCGTTTTGTCACAACATGCTCGGTGCAAAGGCCTTTAATTCAAGTTTTAAAACCTTTCCACCTTTTATCCATAGGCCCCAATTTTTAACAGGCCTAAAGCTGTTGGACAAACTAAAATAATTACACATTCAAGGAATGAGTTTAACACTTAGATGAAAATTTGTTTAGGTCAGTGACTCCCTGAAGTCTTGAGCCTATGAACATCACCAAATGCTAAGTTTTCTTTCTTTGACTACTAGGCCTTTACTGTAGCCACAGTGAAGCTGGCGACTCAGTTGGTGGTCCTGGTGCTGTCTCCAGCAGCGGCTCTGCCTCTGCCTCTGGTGCCGGCTCTGCCTCCAGCACTAGACCACATTTCACAGGTATGTCTCACTAAGAAACACAGAAATAAAGATCCTCGAGTCTTTACATATATCCTGAAAAAAATAATTTTGTGCTTTGATTTTTACACTCACCGAGACTCAGTTGGTAGACCTGGTGGCGGCACTTTCTCTGACGGCAGCTCCAGTGGCAGTGCTGCCTCCGGCGATGGCTTTGTCAGCACCCCTCTCTCCAGTGACAGTGACTCATCCACATCCACTCATTCCAGGTGAGGGCTGGAAATATCATAAAATATACATGCACATTCTGTTTCATCTATTTTTAACAGTATCAGCTGTCAGATCAGAGACTTTCTTAAATGTGAGTTACGCCCAAATATTTCAACCATTGTCAATGGAAGATCACTAGTCCATTTTGGAGACCTGTCCCTCCTTCAATGTCCATATATGAAAAGCTAAAAGAGAGTGCAGCATTGTAGAACAGAGAGGGCATCGGGGATTATAAATATCACACTCATTAAATCTAATATAGCATGAATGGAGGATCTAGGGTGAAGCTATACTGAAAAGCAGCTTGCAGATGTTCATTGGTTGCATAGAAAGGTGTTTAGCTGAGCCATCAAATCAGCCAGATCTTCTTGATTTACATTGGAGTTTGTGGCCTCTCTGAACAAACATTCAGCTCAACTTTTGAAACAGAGTGTGTGATTTAACAGTCGGAAAGAGAACATTTACTCGCTCAGGATAAACAGACACACAATTTATGGTTTGTATTTTGTCGCTTGTATTTATTCAAATCCTCCTACTCCATCTCAGCATGTCGTTGTTGAGAAATCATCAAAGGAGAGGATACAAGCTAACAAAGAGGTATGTGTGAATGCATGTGTGTGTTCAGTTGCATATGAGCACAACCATTGCATCTATCATCCTGGTCTCCTTTTTCTTAACAGGAAAATATGACAGATCATCGTTATGACGAGATAAAGGAACAGAAACAGCAAAAGACCTCACTGCCATCTGTTTATGCTACTGTCAGTCCTCTTGCAGACCTGGTCCACTATGAATCTGCCAAGTTTCAGAAAAATGGGAACACACTTCCTGACAGTAATAAAAATTGATTCACTGAAAAAGAGCAGGAAGCTACCAGTCCTCCAGCAGCAGAACTAACTCTCTATTCAGACGTCACAAAGGGGCAACACTAATAATATAGTCACTCTGTGAAGAATGTTTTCTATGTATAAACTCTGTCTATGCACCTAGAAAAGAAGAAGAAATGTTATATATAGTTCTATTAATAAGATAATTTGGTCATATATTTTAGTGATAGACTCTGCTGTTTAATGTAAAATTAAAAGCACGTTTATACCAGAAAAACTTGGTTATGTCTTTAATTCACTGGTCATACCATTCATAAAGTATTCTATTGTTTCAATAACAAAAGAGGTTAAATCTCATATTCTGATTTTTAAAAACATAAGAGCAATAGTGTCATCTGATGTGGCATCAATCAAAAGTTTAGTTTCCAAAAGCTCTATTGGAAAAAATAATATTTGACTTAGTCTGAAATATTGATACAAGTTTTGTTTCTTTATCAGAAAGCCACATGTAATGATTAATTTAATTTTTGAACTCTTCTTCTTCTGTTTAGGCATTTCTTTTCCACAACACCCTTCTTTGGACATATTTTGCTTTCTTTTCTATGGCAGTGTGTGTGCTAACATCAGTGGCATGTCACTGTGTACAATCATTATTGGGCCATCTAGTCCACAGAATAATGCACAGTGTTGGGAAGGTTACTTTTAAAATGTATTCCATTACAGAATACAGGATACATGCCCCAAAATGTATTCTGTAACGTATTCCGTTACGTTACTAGATGACAGTAACGTATATTCTGAATACTTTGGATTACTTAATATATTATCATGCTGTTTACAACTTCATGAATGTACTATTGCTGTGATTTATTACTGTTACTGAAGGTCCGCGGCTCCAAACCGTAGTAAAGGGACCCTGGCTAATGCGGTGGGTTCATGTTGGGCTCGTAGCCGAAAACTAGCTTTACTTTGTTGTCTGGGTCAACTGACAGCTCGTTCTTTTCCTTTTTCTCCCTCCCTCGCTCACAGACACATAACGTGTATGGCAGTCCATTCTTCCTGCAGCACGGACTACACTGCCTATGATGCTACATTCTTTAGAGCTATACCGGTAGCATTCTGCCTATTAGCTTAGCACAACAACAACAAAAAGGCCTCTCTCACCCAGGAAACACGCAGAGAGAGAGTGTCACCCTGTAACCATAGCAACCGTAACGCTGCTACGTGGAACAACAGAACGTAGCTGTCAAACAAAACCCAAACAGGCCTGACCCGCCACAATATGAAACAGGGAAGTACCGCAGTGTAATCCATTTATTTCAACAAAGTAACTGTATTCTAAATACCACCTTTTTAAACGGTAACTGTAACGGAATACAGTTACTCATATTTTGTATTTTAAATACGTAACGGCGGTACATGTATTCCGTTACTCTCCAACACTGATAATGCATCTAGATACAGTGGGTACAGAAAGTATTCAGACCCTTTTTAAGTTTTCACTCTTTGTTATATTGCAGCCATTTGCTAAAATTATTTAAGTTCATTTTATCCTTATTAATGTACACACAGCACCCCATATTGGCAGGAAAACACAGAATTCTTGACATTTTTGCAGATTTATTAAAAAAGAAAAACTGAAATATCACATGGTCCTAAGTATTCAGACCCTTTGCTCAGTATTTAGTAGAAGCACCCTTTTCATCAAATACAGCCAAGTCTGTATTAGGTCAAGCCAGTCTTTTTGGGAAAGATGCAACAAGTTTTTCGCACCTGGATTTGGGGATCCTCTGCCATTCCTCCTTGCAGATCCTCTTCATTTTTTTTGCCTGTCCCGTTTGGTTCTTTAGCCGTCAGAATACCCAATGGATTTACTTTACCAAGTGGATAATCACGGCCTTGCCGTATTGGTCCATTTGATCGACCTTTGTTGTTATTATTTATTTTATTTTATTTTCAGTTGTTACAGACGGGACAGACATGACTAGGGGATAGGAAAGGGAGAAAGAAAGATGAAGGAAAAGAAAAACAGAGGGGAAGAGGGACAGTGAGAAAGGGCCATTGTTAATCTTTAACACTGACTAGGTTACTGGTAGAAATATAACACTGTCAAAAGTGTTAATTTAACACTCAAAAGAGTGGACACATGTAGACACTTTCTAGTGTCAGTTTAACACTGGAGATTTTGCAGTGCAGGGACAAAAATAACAAAAACAAAATTCCTTCTTCTGTATTGTTTCTATTTATGCATACTTGGTCTGTGTGTGTTTGTGTGAGTGCAAATGCATTACCTTTATGCTAATTATTTTTTGCAACTGCACGACAGATATGCATAGTTTTTCATACGGGATTTAGGCTACAGCAAAGTAAGCTTCATAATTGCATGCTGGGTGAATTATGCATTAATAAAATAATAAATTAATTAATAAATATTTCGTTGTAAAGATAAGAAATACACTGTAGACATGATTCTGTGTTGTATAAAGCATTTTGTCTTGTTCCATTCTCCCTCTGTTTCTCTCACTTTTTGTGTAAAGCTCCATCTACATCCAGATCCAAATCCACTTTCTGTAACATCATGAAAATACTGCCAGTTATATTAGAAAGAAAAGCACGACACTGTCCCATTTGTGTAGCAATATGGAAAGTGTGGCGGGAAGAATATAACTAGATCAAAATAAAATACAGGTCTGACTGATTGTGGAGAAGTTTTTAATTCAACATTAGCTTAAATGTAATGTATAAAAGGATTTCTGACTCAAAACAATGGGGGTATCATCAAAAGTCACATATTTCTATTTATTTCCTTGCTGAAGACCTCTGCTCTTCACTTCTGGGTAAAATATATTTTATTCCATAAAAATGTATCAGACACTAAAGTTCTTTAACTTTTGGGTAAATATGTTTTGGACAATGGAACTATTGTAATTTCAACTCTATACACCATCACCACTGTAGATTTTAAATCAAACAACTGAGGTACAGACTTTCACCTTTAAGATATTTACATCACCAAATGCTAAATGTTTCCTTCCTTGATATGTCCTGCTAGGCCTTTACTGCAGCTACATTCAGTTGCTGCGTGTTCTTCCAGAGAGCAAGCTGCATTGTTTGAGATCAGTTGACTAACTTGGCCTTTGAAGAATCTATTTGCACTATAAACAGTTTCTGATCACTTTTGAAACATTTAACTGGATTTTTTTTATTTTTAGTTTATATATATATTGTTGATTTAGTGGCCTTTTCTATGTAGTTGATATTTTGTTAACTTGTACAGCACTTTGGTCCATGGATGTGCTATATAAATAAACTTTGACTTGAGTTGAATCTCAGCAAAGATTTCAGAATCTTTTACATTTCAGAATCATCCTACTTCTATCAGCAGTCATGCCGTAATGAACAGCAGTATCACTGCCATAACAATACCATTGCAACGTTTAACAGTTATGGTATGCTTCTTATCATAAACTGTTTCTCATCTTCCCATACTTTTGTCTTTCCATCATTTTTGTACATATTAATCTGGGTTTTATCTGTCCAAAGGATTTTTCTTTCTTTTTCCAGAATCCGGAAGGGTCTTTTGAGATGTTTTCTGGCAGGGTTGTTTTTGCAGTAACCAGTGGTTTTCACCTGGTTGTAAACCATGTATTTCCAATCATGAAACCATAACTATCTTAAAATTATAGCTTTTTAATGAGATTAACATTCATCACTAAACAATATAGTGTAAAAATGTATGAGTACAACATGCATCATGCAGTTTAGAATGACATTTTACGGCAATATTTTATTGTTCACAGATTTCTTTGTGCCATTCCTACGGTGATCTTATATGGAAATATTTTGTTCTGCTAATACTTATTTTTACAATCTCTGGAGGATAGAATGAACTAAGTTTCTTGCATTTAAAAAAAACTGTATTTTTTTGTAGGCAGCAATCTCAGTCATTACTTTTGTGACTAATTCATTCCACACAACGTCCCAGGTCATGCGGCCAGTGTCTCAGGCTCCAGGTCTGGTACTACACACTCCAGTTCCACACACTCCAGTTCCACACAATCCAGTTCCACACACTCCAGTTCCACAAACTCCAGTTACACACACTCCAGTTCCACACAATCCAGTTCCACACACTCCAGTTCCACACACTCCAGTTCCACATAATCCAGTTCCACACACTGAAACTCCAGGGTGAAAACCTACAATCCAGCACTCAATCTTGCACCCTCCACTTCTGCATCCTCCAGTCCCAGTTTTGCAACACATGCACCAGATGTCATAGGTATGACACAGAGACAGATCCTCTTGTCCAGGGGTTTCCAACTCCAGTTCTCGAGAGCTACTCTCCTGCAGCTTTTAAATGCATCCCTCTACCAACACAACTGAATCAAATGGTTGAATTACCTCTTCAGCATGCCATCAAGCTTGGCAAAGCCATGGTAACAAGCTATCCATTTGAATCAGGTGTGTTGGAACAAGGATGCATCTAAAAGCTGCACGACAGTAGCCTGTGTTTTGTTTGCATATGAGCAAAACAGTTACTTTTATAACACCACCTCCATTTTTCTTGCCAGTGAAATATTGGAGGTCATCATTATGAAGAGATTAATGTCCATGACCTGGTCCTTGTGCCACTGTTGAATTTTAGAAGGATGCAAACAGACTCCCTGACAGTAATAGAAATGGCCCCTCTCCTGTGCAGGGTGGTGCCACCAATCCTCCAGCAGCAGAGCCAACTCTCTATGCAACTGTCACAAAAGAGGGTTAACAACAACAACATCATCAAGCTGGGATGTGTTTTCCATGCATAAATATTATTCATACATCTAAAATAGATGGAGAAATGTTGAATGGATTTCAATTTAGCATATAATTTGGTCAAATACTTTAGTGAAGGCTTGTTTGATACTTACGTAGTCAGCTACTTCCGTGCAACTGATATAAGATGCGATAAGCTGAACACAGCTTCAACAGTCTGTTTGTTGAAAAATAGTAAGGGACCGCATTTTCTTGTTAGTAACTGTAACGGCGTTGTAACGATAGGAATAGTAATTCGTTAGATCACTCGTTACTGAAAAAAGTAACGCTGTTAGTAACGCCATTACTTGTAACGCCGTTATTCCCATCACTGTTTAACAGCGCTGATAAACTATGCCAATAAACCATATCACCGTAAAAAATGAGTGAACTCCCTGAACACCCACCACACCCTTAACTGGAGGCCACTTAACTGTAGAACTAAAACCTGATAAAGGGAATGAAAACTGTAAATGCACACAGCTGATGCAAAGATGATACTGAAGCTGTAAGATAAATAAAGATTGAAAAAGCTACTAATGCACAAAAACAATTAAACAATTATTAATTTATTTTTATTAGAAACATATATATATATATACAGACGCACACTGCATTATTTGCATATAAGTGAATGGTGTAACATGCAACTATGTAGTCATGCCAGCAGCCAAAAATAAATACAATAGTGAAGTCTTGTGTGTTATTACCTGTAGTAAACACACAATAGTATTAAACCCAAAATTTGTAACTAGGTATTGTCAAGCTACCATGTAAAATGAGGCATAGTTTTACTGTAACTCTGAATACACAACCAGAGGTACAGCACAAAACTCTTTGCCCTATACATAAGCAGTCTCTGTGCCTCCCCTTACTTTTACAATCCATATCTCATGTGCATTTTTTTTATGTTTTTTAATGATTAATAATTGAGTCAATAACTGTATTGGCCACTCTGTAGTGGTCATTGGGGTTGCCAGTAATGAACTGGTCACATGCCAAATGTAATAAAAAAAATCTATAAGTCTACACATTTTTAAAATCTCATCATATTCTAACTGTCATTTCTGAGCATACTACAGTCTACAGTTATTTTCTTATTATTCGTATTATTAATATAATTATTATTAGTAGTAGTAGTATTTCTTAACTATAATTTACATATTACCATGTCATGAAAATCTTTAAAGTTAAGATCTGAGTTGTCTAACATATTCTGCCTTCTCATTTTTCTCAACACAACCTTTATTTGCCTCTCTCTCTCCTCACCTACATCCCCATCAATTAAATTGTGCCAAATCTGACATTCACTCGCTGTATTTTATTAAGTAAAACATCCGTAACCTGTTAGTTGCTCACCTTCCTATGTTAACAGCTAATTTCCCTTTGGTTGCTTTCTCTCGTTCTTCTTTCTTTATCTTTTTTTATAGCCCAATTTTGCTTCTTTAGGGAAAAGACATGGCTCAGTGTGCAGCATTCACCTAGACAGAATAAATTAGCGGAGCCTTAGAGGAAAGCCTGATTGTTGGGTAGGCTAATCTATTTTGTATAATTTGTTAGTTGTGCAAATCAAAGTGTCACATTTGCCACCAGGTAGAGCAGGTCTCAAATGCAGGACTCTTAAAAGACCAGTGAATTTATTTACAAAGTAGAGGATGTGCAATAACAATCCCAAACATGAATCCCATAACAATGATAGTCCTGATTCCCAAATCCCAAGGATTCTCTCCAAGTCAGCTTTCCACAGTTTGTACACCACTGGTCTCTAACAGGTAACTGTGCAGGTTTACTGTATACAAGAGGACACAGGTAAGTTTCTTTACAAAATAAAAGTAGCAAACCAACTAGTACCAGAGCTGGGATTTACACTGACATAGTAGCAAAACAATTCAGCAAAGACTTAAGCGCAGCCATTCCCTTAAGTAAGGCCACTGCATAAAATCCAGAACACCACAGCACACACGTAGACACACAAACAAGGACAGTAGAGAGGAGAGGCAGAAAGCACGAGTGGGATAAGACAGACAGAAAACAGTGAGTTAGACGATGACAGAGGGACCATGACAAAGACAGCCTCTACTATTTTGGAATCAAAGTGCTTGATTTTGAGACACAATCCACAATAATTTTGGGAGCATTAATAAGTTAATACAATATGATGCATTTTAAGTTACATTTATACTGAATTTGAGGGGTTTTGACTTTTTGTTTTGTCCGTCTAGCTGATCTTGTGTGACATATATGGTAAACATATAAAACAATATGTAAATAATAACAAAACTCTACTACATTTTCATAATTCCATGCCTCTGGATAGACTACATTAATACTTTTTCATGCAATGGGTGCTAACTAATATCTGGTATTATAATTATTTTGATCCAAAGATAAGAGAGACATTGTGGACATTGTTTTATGATGAATATTTTGCTCGAAGCAACGAAAGACGTGATAACATGCAGCTGATGATTAGCTACTATGAGTCAACACTCTCGCTCCCCATCTGTTTCTTTTACTTCTCCTTTTCTATCTCTGTTTCTATCACTCTGCATAAAGAGATTCAAATCCTGTTTCTTCATCATGCAAATATTCCAACTTCTGTGGTGGAAAAACAAAGCTGGCACTCTCTCTTTTGTGCAGAGACATCACAAGCAAGTGAGAATATCACAATTTGATGAGAGCAGAGTACAGGTGTCATGACTGATCATAGGAGCATGTAGCTTATTTAGCTTTCTTTTTTTTCTTTTGGATCTTATAATTTTAGCTTAAAACTGTGGAAAACTATAAAAAGTTTCTGACCAAAACAATGGCAGCATCATTACAAATCATCCGCTTAATAACAGGTAAGATTATTCTTCTATTTGATTTTCTTGGGGCTGAAACTCATTTTAAGTGTTATGATTAAATTATAGTTTTATTCATTTAATTTTCTATAACAGCTGCTGTGAGCTTTTTGTCTGTAATGGGAAACATGGACAGACGTGTCAACATTAACTGTAAGTACAACAAAGATGTAAACCAACATACAAAATACTTCTGCACGGAGGCACGCTAGTAATTTGAGTTATTTACTGCTATACTTGAATACAAATTTCAGGTAATTAGGTAGTTACACCTGTTTTGATTTTATTGTTGTTTTTATACCTCTACTGTTCAGTTGTGAGAAAAATGTCTTTACGACATTTATCAGACAGCTATAGTTACAAACGTTGCTGTGATTAACTCTTAAAACATGAAAGATAGCCATTGGTTAAATCATAACGCTGTATAGCAGCTAAAATTAGCTTATTTTAACAAACAGCGCGAATGATACTCATTACTGTGCAGTGAGTACTTTCTTTTTTATTTTATTGCTGTTTTTATACCTTTAGTCTTCAGTTCTGATGAAAATGTTGTACATAGATTTAACAGACATCTATAGTCACAAGTAAATCCAGTGGAGTGGTTTGGTTTAAACTAGATTTAAACCAACAATGCCCTTAAAAATATATAGATATTTTAAAATAAAATAATTAAACATAATAATCGAAAATGGATTTAGCTACATTTTGGACCCTGTTTCTGGAATGCAGTAGCTAGCGAGCTGCTTGGAGACCGTAACAGCCAATCAGAATTTTTGCATTCAAGTCTGTGATTGGTTGGTTTTATGGCACACTTATAATGCTGTACAGCAGGGGTGTCGAACTCCAGGCCTCGAGGGCCGGTGTCCTGCAGGTTTTAGATATCACCGTGGGTCAACACACCTGAATGAAATGATTAGTTCATTACCAGGCTTCTGGAGAACTTCAAGACATGTTGATGAGGTCATTTAGCCATTTAAATCAGCTGTGTTGGATCAAGGACACATCTAAAACCTGCAGGACACCGGCCCTTGAGGCCTGGAGTTCGACACCTGTGCTGTACAGAGTTGAGCGCACACGGAGCAGAGATGTTGTGAGTGCGAAAGACACACTGAGAGACGGGTTAGAAAAGTGGTGATTTTTGGCCCTGATGGCTTACCATAGAGAGCAGGTCCGCAGATGTCAGCACACAGAGCAGAGAACTGAGCAAGAGCAAATGCCAACAGCTGAGCGAGAAGGGCTGTTATTGTGTGTGTATATGGATAAGAGCAAACACTGAAATACATTTCTTGCACACAGCAATGTTTGCTCAAATTAAAATTTTCTTCACTCAAAATTATTTTCTCCTCAAGATGCAACATTTCGCTTGCAAAAAAAATTTCTAAGGGCGCTCAGGCACAAAAATAACTCATACTACTTTTTCTTCGTTGGCGTTTAACAGCAGCATTCCTGCCATCTTCTGTTTCAGTCCGTTATTACACTATTAAATCCCACTGCTCATTCCTGCGTCTTCCAGGATCTTACAAAGCTTCAAATGAGCGTTGACTATTAAATTAGTCATCGACGATTTTGATAGTTGACGTAATCGTGACTAGTGAACTAACCGTGGCAGCCCTAATACACCTGCATAGGTGCTAAAATGAACTTATCACAGCACGAGTGATACTTTTTGCTCTATATTAATGTATTAATAATACAGGTTGTCTTCTTGCTGCCTAAAAAAATGTCAAACAGCATCTACACTCTACTAATAAACAGATTAGTAATTTTAAGTGTTGCATTGAATGCACTATACACACATCTGCTGACTTTGATTGAGAAATTAACCTTTGCTTCATACGCTTCAACTCTCTGACAGGCTACAACAAACCAGTGAACCAGACCACATTTCTTGGCGCCTCGGCTACCATCAACTGCAACTATACAAGAGTAAAAGAAAGTGGAATCAAATCCTTTTGTAGAGAAAATGCAAGCTCTTATTGCAATAATCTGATATCATCTTATGACTCAAATTACACCAGACTAGACAGATTTTCTCTCAGAGATGATAAACAGCAAAGAGTCTACACTGTGATCATTTCTGCACTGACCCAACAAGATGCTGGAAAATACCAGTGTAGTATAAAATCTGATACATCCACTTCTTGTTTAACTGAGATCCACCTCTATATTCTGAGTGAGTATTGATCTGATTTTTGATTTAACGTAATAATAATTTTAGTAAATAAAAACACATTTATATATGTAATATACATAATATATATAAGTTGCAGTTTGTAAAGAAAATAGCTGCGCTGACGTGCATTTCCTTTTTTAAGACTGGGACGATATTAAACCACATGAAATGGTTGGTGTTACTTCAGAGACTGCAACAATTACATGTAACTATTCTAAGAGTGAAGAGGACACTGAAAAATACCTTTGCAAAGGACAGAATCCCTTGAACTGTGATGAGTTAATACGGACAACAGAAGAAGACAGAGTTGTAGTTAAAGACAGATTTCACATAAGGGGTAATAAAAGAAGGAACTACTTCTATGTCTACATCAGTGACCTGAGGAGAACCGACTCTGGAACGTATTGGTGCGGATCTGGTAAAACAATGACAAATGCTGAATACACCAAAATATACCTTTCTATCAGTAAGTACCCAATTTATATATATATATATATATGTATATATATGTTGACAATCAATAAACATATTTTACCACTGAAGCCAAAAATTCTTGAGTTACTTTATAGGAAATATTAAAAAAAAATGTATAGCAGGGGTGTCAAAGATAAGGCTCAGGGGTCCGAATTGGCTGACTCCAGCCCGGCCCACTGGATGGCTTTGGAAAAGGGAATAAACTTTAGACTGTTAAATGTATTTTCATACATTTTAAAGCTTTTCCTACATTCATACTACATCAAATTAATTAAGTAATAGAAAAAAACCCACTATTTGGTACTGTGTAATGATTATTTTCTGAGTATTAACAACATCAACAAAAATTGTATAACCTTCTTTCTTTATTTTTTTCTCACACAGCTGAAAGACACACTCAAACCAAAAAATCAGTCAGTTTACGTATAAAGAGAGATGGCAACAGCAAAGATGAGAATTTAGGTATGTGTCTCTGCCAAGCAGTTGCAGTTAATATCTCAGTATACAAATACACACAAATGTCTACTGCAGAAACACACTAAGCCACAGTCTCTATTCTATAAACTTTTAAGCCATATCTCTGTGGCTGTCTTCTTTTTGCAGGCCTGCATATTGGTATTGGAGTGGGTGTGGGATCATTAGTGGTGATTGCTGTGGTTGTGCTAATACTATACAGATGTAAAGTCCTCAGGATGTCAGGTAGGAAAATACATAAATACAAATAAATTAATACAATATTAAAAAAAAATACATATAATTGTTTATTTTATCAGATCAAGATTTGTGTAAAACACTCCCAAGCCAATGAAAGGTTTTTCTGACCTTAACTACAAAAGCAAAAATATTTAATGCATTTAAATCTAAATCTTAAAATTGATAGATAGATAGATAGATAGATAGATAGATAGATAGATAGATAGATAGATAGATAGATAGATAGATAGATAGATAGAACAGAGCAGACATCAGTGAGAACAAACACAGAAAAAAACCTCTTGTTGTTTATGTTCAAATTCTTCTCATTTTAGAAACTGCTGCTGAGGGGTCATCAGAGCTGAGGACAAAGTCTGGACATAACACAGAGGTGTGTGTGTTTGTTTGTTAGTACATGTTTAGACATCTTTGTGAGGACAGAAAATTAGCATGTGGGGAATAACAGTCACATCTGGGGATAAAATGCCGACCCCCATGAGTTTGAAGACATTTTTGAGGCTCACAATGTGGTTTCAGTGTTCGAGTTACGGTTATGGTTATGGTTAGGGTTAGGCTGAGGGTTAGGATTAGTCATTCGTTTATGATGGTTAGGGTAAGCGGCCAGGGAAAGCATTTTGACAATGTGATGTGCTCACTGGGAGGTGGGGCGCTGTTTAGTTTGATTGAGGGCACAGTTTTGCATCTGTCCCACCATTGCTCTTCATTGCTCCCCCAGGGAAATACTGGAGATCATCAATATGAAGAGATTAACATACGGAGACAGCAAGAGAGCTCACTGCCCTCTGTTTGTGCTGTTACCAGCCCTCCTCCAGACCTGGTCTACCTTGCTAATCTTAACTTTCAGAAGGATACCAATGTCAATCTTCCTGCAGACATAGTCCACTATGCCACTGTGGATTTCCAAAAAGATGAAAGAATGCTTCCTGTCACTAGTGAAAATGGCTCTACTCCCATGGGACAAGACGTCATCAATCCTTCTGCAGACATACTTCAGTATACCACTGTGGGTTTCCACACTGCTGGAAAAACACTTCCTGACAATAAGAAAAATAGCTCCGCTGGCAGGGGACATAGTGCTACCCGTAATCAAGAACCTGAGACAACTCTCTATTCAACTGTTATAAGACAATAATATAGTAATGCTGTGAAGGAGCTGAATATTCTCGATGCATAGATACTATCTGTAATCTTAAAATAATAGGAAAAAGGTTGAAGCACTTCAGGTGTAACTACTTATAGAAATGCGGTTTGAATATTACAGTTATTACAATTACAAATATTTAGGTCGCAAAAACGTCTGATTTCAGTTAGTGATTTTTAGTAAAAATTTGATTTGCTATGGTCGATGCTTCAGTGTCACAAAAATGAGAACATAAATTATTGGGTTTTTTAAACAAGTAATTGGTCAAAGAGTAGTTTACAATATTTAGAAAGTGTATCGTCACTTAAATATCTGATCACTGATTAAGAAAATGAATATTCCTAAGAAATAGTTCCCGGTTTGTTTCTTTTTCAGTAGTAGTTAATAAAACAGTGTAATACAGTTCAGAAGTTGGCACTACCTGAAGGTGCAGCTGATGAATAAACCACACACAATTTGACATGGAGTAAAACATGTTTAGTTTCCATTTCTTTAAGATAAATTAATATTTAAAGTACTATGAGCTTTTCCTTGTTTCCTGTTATGATTTTTATCCGATTCGTTTTTATAATTCAAGCATGCAGTTATGATTTCCTGTTTTACGTTTGACCGCCGAGCATTTCAGTGTATCTTATTTTGCTCTGCAACTCCCTCTTGTGGACTCTTTGGTGATCAGCTGCTTATAAATAGATAACTGTATTTGTTATCGTGTGCTTCATTGTATGAACCATATCATAATTCACTATCACATTGCCTGTAAATACCTCTCTGTAACAGTCTGTCATAGTAAGTAAGTGTTTTGTTTTATTCTTTTGTATTCGCTGAAAAGTAAAGACTGAGTTTGTGCTCAAAACAAACAGTGGCAAAAGGAAATTAATGTGGTAAATACAGTAGAGAAAGTGCTTCATAAAACAAAGCAGTTTGTGTAAGATTCTTTGAAATAACGAAATATAAAGAAAAGGGATGTTGTAAATAAAATTTTTATTCCTTCTGGAGATGTAAGTAAATTTATTGTTTACATAAGAAAGTTATGAGCCTCACTGCAGATGCTCCTAAAATAATTTCATTAAAGAGACAAAAAGTACAGTCAACCTTGTAAAAAAATTAAATAAAGCAAAAACATTACACACAAAACAAAGAAAAATACTGTTTAGGAATTTAACTTGAAATTCAAAATCGTTGTTTCTTAGTACCAGTGGTGAAACGAGTGTTTTTATGAATAAGATAAGTCTCTTTTCTAATTTGTCAAAGTTCAAAAACTACTGTGCTCTGTCATAAAAATGATGACATATGTATGTGTACACTGACAGACATCCCAAACGACCAATAACTGACCAAAATGACGCTCCAGGCGGAGCTACAATCTCCGGCGGAGGCTGGGTGTCGCCTGACCGGATGATGACAGAAGTTTTCAGTCTAATGTGGCGACTTTTATCATGCGATCACACATTTAAGACTCTTGCGAGTTTACTAAAGGCTGGTGGGACTTCTGACTCTTAACTCTCTCGTGTCGTACTGAAATAAACTCACCGAGCCTGTGACAGACTGCACTGCCATTTGGGAACTTTTGGTTTGCTGGACAAGAGACCCCCTTGGCTCCTGTTTGACCGTGGAGGAGAGCAGAATAAAGCCCACTGAGCTGACCGAGCTGCAGCTATGGGAAACCGGGGAATGGAAGACTTGATTCCCCTCATCAACAAGCTCCAAGACGCCTTCAGCTCTATCGGCCAGACCTGCAACTTGGACCTGCCTCAGATAGCGGTCGTCGGCGGTCAGAGTGCAGGGAAGAGCTCCGTGTTGGAGAATTTCGTTGGGAGGTTGTACCATTAATATGTAGTATTGGCTCAAACTGACACTGTGAAGCTTAACTTTCATTTTTTTTGGCAGGAGTCTCTCGTTGTTCCTTTAATAAAAACAACACAGAGCTTTTGCGTAAAAGTCGCCAGCTAAACACTTGGTTACGCGTCTGTGTGTCGGAGCCTCCCAGTTTTCCAACAGATTCTTTCCATTATGGAGGTGCTATTCACGATCGATAATTACGCATTTTACGCAAGAACACAGCTGTTTGTTTAGTGACTGGCAGAACTGGTACAAAACGAGTGTCAAAGTAAAGTGCAATAATAAAAAAAATAAAAGCTTTCGTCTTAGCGTCCACGTTCTTGAACTATACAGTCAAGAATGTGACTTTCTCATTAGATCTGTGTCCACTGTTCTTTCCAGTCATTGCTTCCTATTAGGCCCATTCTGTCAAACATTTACAAAGGCTGTTTTCCTTGAGACTGCTCATTCTGAAAAGAAAGATAGCTTCATAGTCCTCAAATTACACAGGTCAGGTAAATGTTTTACTTTCAAGGGTGAGGTATGTAAAGGTTGTTAGCAGTTATGATGAAGTCATCGTGGATTGATCATTTATTATGAGACAGTTACACCCATCGTATATATATGAAAATGCCTTGACTCTGCCCTCTCAGCATGCTAAGCACTGTTGAATTTCTTTGTGAGGCTGATGAATGAGCTAGAAGGAATTCCAGTAAGCAGTGTATGATTCTTCTTGATGATAAATAGCAGTAAAACAGCTGTTACATTATTGCCATATGTTTGAGGCCCTCTGCTCACTTTATTACGTTGTGTAAAATAATCAGTATTTTACATTAAAAACACAATGACATAGTTTGAAACAATGTGACATGGCCGTAATGCAGTTATAGGGGCCTAATCCACAGTTTGAGTTTAGTAACAAAGTAACAGGACCACTTTAATCGACTACATGTCCAAATGATTTCATTTGTTGTTCAAGAGATCGGGAATGTTGATTAGGCTGCCATGTCTCCTTTTTCCCCGTTTCCTTTTGTCTCCAAATCCCAAGCAGTGGCCGAGGGAGACAGTAGAGGCATTGATGTGTTTGTGCTGGGGTCATCAGTGATGTCACCAGCTGCACTGTCATGTGTATATGACACACTGGGTACCACCAGATACCCACAGAAGAGTACAGAGCTGTTTTCATGTTTGTTAGTTGCTCCACTGACATTCAGAGATGAAGCACTGCGTTTTGAGATTGGGGTGTTTACTTGTTTTACGAAGGTGGAAGTTAGTTTTTGTCAGACACATCCGGCTAACAGTTTCGATTATTGATGTAGGGTTTTTTTTTTCTATTTTATTGTTTATAAAATGTTGACTAGTTTCTCCTATTTTAGTTCTCCATTAAATGGAAAAAAATGTTCCTTTTACATTTTGCTATAATGTAAAACTACCCCCCAAAATTAAATTTTTGTTTGTTTAAAAAAAAAAAATAGAAGAAAAGATTATCATAATGCAAAATGTTCATGATTTATTTTGTGTTGGTGGACAAAAAATAATCAGTTGTTGTTTTTTTAAATTGTACTTGGTTTAGAGGACAAAAAAACAGTTAGCAGTGTCCTTTGCAATTCCAGTTTAGATGACCCGCTGCTTCAACCGATTCATGTTGTGGTTTCATAAGTGACAGGAAGAGAGAGAAAAAAAACAGGATGGGATCACAGTTGTGCAATTTCCTCCCTGCGCTGTCAGCAATGACTACAAGCAGAGGCTGTATACATGTTTATAGCTTCAAATCATTATATGTTAGTGCGTGGGGCTTATTTACCTTACAATAAAACTTGGACCTTGCTGCTGGCTGGGCATGCAAACAGAAAAACAGATAAGGACATATTTTCATGGCCCAGAGAGATGTGTAGTCAGTGACCTGGAAATGATCACGATTCTATTGGACAGGAGTTTCCATTGTGATGAATGTGTATGTAATGAGAAGGGCAAACAGTGGGAGACATCTGTTTGTCTTTGCACTATTCATATTGAACAGGGATGTAAGACAATCTTGGGTTTGCATTAATAATGCAAAAACTCAGATGGAGGCCTGCATTTCCAGTTAATGGTATATGAAAGCTGTTTTTCACCATGAACTCTTATTTTGGTAGGGAATGCTAAATATGTAGGATTTTGATATAGTTTAAAAATGAAATTGAATGGTTTTTTTTGTTGTATTTACTTTTAAGTCAAGCCCTTTTTGTATAGCACCTTTTTTTTGCCAGTTTTAAGATCACTTCACAGATGTCATACAAGCTGATAATAAGACAGAAAAATGTTACAAAACAAATAAAAAAGTAGATTTAGTGCTATGTAAAATATATTACTAAACACAAGGAATTATAAAGTATAATAGAATAAGAAATGCAAAAAACATAAATGTTGTAAACGCTGTATGAAACTAAAAAAAAAAAAAAAAAAGCCTGTCCATTAAACATTACTTGTTGTGTTAAACTTTACCTGCTTCTCTCCTTCAGGGACTTTTTGCCCAGAGGATCTGGCATCGTCACCCGTCGCCCTCTCATCCTCCAGCTGGTTAACAGTAAAGCAGGCAAGTTAGTTTCTCAGTTGTTAGGAAGTAGTTCTTGAAAATCTGGCCTTTCTTGAAGAAAGCTGGAGAAATGTACCACAGAGGATTGTTTTGTGTTTCAATCCTGCACTCTAAATCCATATCAATACAGGTTTAATAATTGCATAATTTATGCCACTAATTGAACTTCACTCACTACTTCTTACAGCTGTGTTACTTTGTGCCGTTTCTTTCCAGTCCATTCGGTTTTCTCCTTTCTAAAACATGTTTATCTCCATGTAGAGTATGCAGAGTTCTTACACTGTAAAGGAAGGAAGTTTGTGGACTTTGATGAGGTCCGCCAGGAGATCGAAGCGGAAACGGACCGTCTCACTGGATCCAACAAAGGCATCTCCCCTATCCCCATCAACCTCCGTGTCTACTCCCCTAATGGTACCACACACACGTTTACAAACTCAGCCTTCTTAATGCCAGCGCTCAACATCCGTCTGATCACTTTCACCGTTCCCTCTTTTCTCTGTCAGTGCTGAACCTGACCCTGATTGACCTGCCGGGGATGACTAAAGTGCCTGTCGGTGACCAACCCCAGGACATTGAGCATCAGATCAGAGACATGTTGCTACAGTTCATCACTAAGGAGAGTTGTCTGATCCTGGCTGTTACCCCTGCAAACACAGACCTGGCCAACTCAGATGCCCTCAAGATTGCAAAGGAGGTGGACCCTCAGGGTAAGCCAATGTTCAGAATATGTGGACCTACACACATCTACATATTTCTTTTTGTAACTTTTTTGGTATAATTTTTGCAGCAACCTCAGGGATTGTACAGCAACTGCAAATTATTTGTTACTCAACAGTTATTAATGCTGATGACAAGAAGTTTTTATTTGAAATTATCCTGAGATTATCTATCTGAATACTAAAACATAATTACGACTTTTCTTCAGGGCTACGCACCATTGGTGTGATCACAAAGTTGGACTTGATGGACGAGGGGACAGATGCACGAGACATCCTGGAAAACAAACTTCTGCCGCTCCGCAGAGGTACAGACACAAAACCAAAGCATTAAAACTCCCACGCCATAGTCACAGCAGTATCACCTGTTGTTTTGTGGACAACAGGTTTTGCTATATTGTTGTTTTCTTTAAACCTCGCATGACTATATTGGGACGACAGCCAGAGATATTTTAAGATAGAGGCATGTCTCTCAAATAATCCCAAATTAATTGATGAACTGAATGAGGCGGAAAAGAACTACCATGAGGGAAAAAATTAGGTAAAATTAGCAAACATGGAGCAAAAAATCTGTGATAAACTTGAACCTAGGTTGCTGCAGTGGCCTTTGGAATATGGATTAGCCTGTGCATAAGATGAACGGTAGCAGCATGCAAGTCAGCCACATGTTCAAGCTTTTTTAAAATTTTATTTTATCTTATTTTATTTGTCAGATTTGACAGGTGAGTCCATACACAGTTTTTATGCTG